TACATCAAGCAAAAGAAACCGCGTTCGCTGTAGACATGATGACAATAATCTGCGCCTTACGTATGTTCGGTCAGCCTACGCTTTCCGTATGTTCACACATTTCTGCAGACAGTTTTCGAACGATCGGTGTGACCGCCCTACAAGGAATGCCTCAGACAGTGTCCACAAACTGTCCTTTGTACGATGCAGTAGTGGCGTGAGCGCGGCTTAAAATTACGATATCGCCGCGTGACCGAGCACTTCAGGTCGTATCCCATCAACGTCGGCACGATTTCGCGTCGTCGCAGTCGCAAACAAACACACTTTCGTCGTCACCGAAAATCCCATTCCATTAGAGGTACGAAGCGCAAACCGACACGCTCGAATCGGACTCGAGGCCGCGGCGACAGCGACGCCGGCGACGAGTGTCGCTCATTTGCAGATTGTCAGCCGGCAGAAATCGGGTTAAGCCAGGGTCGGCCAGCCCACCGGCACATTTGTCGTCGCGAGTAATCGCTCCTAGCGAACAAATACCGCGTTGATCTGGCGTCGGGCCGCGGGTTCTCAAATCCTCGCGCCCGGAGTTCACCAGCCCGAATCGGCTCCGACCAGTGCGCCGAGGATCAACATCCCGTTCGGTAATCCCCGCTCCGTGTAAGTTGTAACGCACTCGTCGCGATAGCTCCGATCCAACGCGGCGCGGGTATAACTCCGGACTAATCAGGGACCACGTAGCGAATCGCCATCAATAAGCGCCACGAACGGGCCGGACACGAACCGCGGCGCCCGTGTGAGTATACACTGAACTCCGTTTTCCCCCTACGATAGGCCTCAGAGAAGGCTACGAGCAATCCCAGCCAATCCGGGGCTGGGAAAGTATACCACGTGACCTCCAGACGTGGGCCAAATGACGCCCGGTGCTCAAGCTCACGTGACACTCCGTCCGCGTTGGGTTGGCTTCGATGGCTCACTGCGTCCCCCGCGGTTCCTTGTAAGGTAGCACGGGGTACGGTGGGTAGACGGAATCGCAGTGCGAAGGGCTCCTCCATTCGTAAAGATACGGGGCTGCGACGAATTTCGCCGGCAGAGCGGTCACGCCCGCCGCCGACTGTATTAATGCGCCCGCGGGAGAACTAATTTCGGCGTGGGTGCGCTGTATATATACCTTATCCGCCCAGAGGGATCCAACGGCATCGCACCGAATCTCTCAACGCCATCTGCAGTCGCTGCAGATATCTCGATAGCTTCCGCCGTTCCAGAGAGTCGACGATGCCGGCGGAGCAGCGCGCACAACCTGATGAATACGTATGTTTATAGTGTAATTCGTGTTATTAAGCCAGGTAGGCTGCGTGCCCGCTTCACAGTTCTCTCGCCCGGACTAGAGTCCAGCCGCCGAAGAGGCTTCTTCATACTGGAGCGTCCTGCATCGACCACAAAAGAGTACGGGTGTCCTGACTCTGGAAACTTCTCGATCTAGTCTATTGTGGACACACTTGGCTATCACGCGACCAGTGGCCGTTCCGTGTTCCCAGCGCCGCGCATGCGCGGAGCTGAGAGTACACCATGCATGAGCAGGACGGTGGTCTCGCTCTTCCAGTTGGCGACCACACCACTTGGTCGTCTGCTAGGCGCGAAGCAGACGACGCCCGAGCGCTTGCCCATGTTATGCAGTCAGCTGTGTCCATGACAGTACCTTCCGTGAGGTACCGTGACTTGTGTTGGTAGTTATAAGCACCACCAGGTCGCTGAGCCGCTTGGAATGAACAAGTACGTAACGCGGACAGACAGATTCGTACGGTAGAACCCTGTTGATCGGGCGGCGGTTCGCGCCCCATAGCCAACAGATAAAACGACAGTGCCGGAACGCTTAGCATCCTCTTGCAAACGTGCATTCGCCAGGTGATATCGCAGACTTACGCGTACTGATATACAAGATGGCTTCCCTGCTGCTTTATCAAAACATTTGGCGTTTGGTGAAGCACCGTCTCCCAAATGAAACAACGGAACTCTGATACAAATCGACGAGAGGTCGACACCCCTTTTTGTTACAAGCGCAGCCTCACACCCTCTCTTGGGAACTTACACTCGATAAAACGTCTACACCCTTTCCCTCTAGCACACTCAACGCATATTTGAAAAACGCACACGTGAATACGCTTTTGCAACGTGTGGGGTCATGTGACCTGGAAATTTCGACAACGAGAAGCTTGCGATACTCTGGTAACAACTAGTACACCGCCGCTGAAACATAAAATTCTTTTCCGTCCAGTCGAAGATGATCTCATGAAAGCGGTGGCCAGAAAACCACCTGTTCAAAGGCACCTCTCAGGCGCCAAGCAAACGGCTATCCCGAACGTCCACTTATCGAAAGCAAGAACCCCACGACACAGCCAAACCCCCAAACATTTCTTTATTCTTGTTTAAGCCCTAACATGAGCGAGAACTGTCGAGTGAATGAACGGGGATGCCGAAAAATCTTCGGCGCAGCCGTCCTTCACCAAAAGCGTTCAGCGCCCGTCGCCTCGAAGAGATCAGGGGCGAAACTCGGCGGCGCATGAGCATGCATCAGCGGGGGAGTCAACGCCGTTCAATCGTGTCCCCTCTCCTAGACCTGGACGAGGGGGAGCTCACAGCAAGCAAACATTCGAGAGCGAGTCATCAAGTGCCATCAAAGCACTCCATCGACCCTCGAATGTCGCGTCCTCGGTCGTGAGAAGAGCGCCACCTTGCCGTGTCTCCCCCGCAGATAGGCGCACAATGGCCCATTGGCTTCGATCGCCACGCCCCCGTGCCTATAGCCTTTTCTCGCGTCGACTGGTTTTCTTTTTCCTCTCGGGGCGCTTTTTCCGCCGCATGCCGCGAGCGCGCAATGTGCGCGCATTCATAGGGCACGCTCGTTACACGACGCTCAATGGCTCCCCCCCTTTCCCGCTCTTTCCCGGCTTCAGAAGACACCGCCTCTCCCAAGGTCAACAGCCAGAAATGGCCATTCCGTGTGCGCTATTCTATTTGCCGGTGAATCTGGCCCGTCCATCTAGCGATCTGGCGCCGCCGACGTGCCCACGTCCGAAATGCACCCAAAGGTATGCCACCTCCCCCCCGTCGGCGTCATCATAAGCGAGGCGTCGAAAGCACCAACCGAAGCTACGACCAAACTTCTTTCTTTCTTTTTTTTTCTTTTAATATTTGCCCGAGAAACTTCACTATTCGTTTTATCATGGTTTCGTACGATATTTCTAGCACTTTTTCGTTTTCGGTTCGGCGGAACGCGGGAGGATCATCAATAGAGCATTCTATTTCTCGCTTGTTTTAGTTTTTCGTTTCGCGTTTCTGCTAAGCTTTAAGAGCAAACGATCACCTACGATGCGCGGCCCGAAAGAAGAAAAAAGAGGAAAGCGATAAAAAACTCACCGACTGGTAACAAGAAAACGGATACTTTAGAAGAGAGGGTGGGTGTTATTGTTCTGCCGAAATACCAACCCCCACAGACCGAGTCTACGAAAGCTGACCCTTCGGACCATTTCCTTGATCTTTTTCGCTGTCTTTCTTTTCTTTCGAAGGCTAATAAATACCTTATGTTCACAATAACGATGTCCCGAAGCAATCGCAGCTTCTGGATACAAAAAAAAAAAAGGGGTATTTTAGTCGTTCTTTGTTTTTGTTGTATAACTCTCCCATAGAAGCACATTCTCGCTCGGGACATGTCCGCAACGCACAAAGATCGCGTGAGACGACGCGCAACATGGTTGTGCGCATGTTCTTCTCATTTCCGAGGGTACACGTGCTCCGCACGAGCTGATGCTTTCATTTCCTCGGAGTCTACACGTCTGGTCGCACACTAGCCTCGAACTTCCTTGCAACAGCAGGAGAGGTTGAAGCATCCTCACTTGAGGGCTATGTCAGAAATCCACCACTAGGCGGCCGATTCAGAAATTCCTCGGCGATGACCGTACAAAAACACCCTATAACCGGACGCATGCCGAATGTACACGGTTTTACTTTTAGTGCAAGAGTAGAAGAAGCTGCAAGAGCCAGCTCGGGGCTTTCGACGTTCGTGTGGAGTCCCTCATTACTATCCGCCATAGTGCCTCCGCGATGCGAAAATAGTCCGTTAAAAAGGCACACGTCGGGCTGACGTCATATAACTGGTCATGACTACCGAATTTTCCGGTTAATTAACGAAGCAATTCGATGCCGTGGTTGATACGTGGTGGTGTTTATTTGTCCCGACTCCGTCTATAGTAATATCAAAATTTTCTCGATATATTTAAAAAGTTATATTCAAAGTAAAAAAAAAGTAAATACAAGCTTGATCACGCTGATTAAGACCGGGGAGCATGGAATGTGTTGAGCCATAGCCTCCTATATACTGACAAAGCCTGGCAGATCGCCACCAGAAGCGGCCGCCGAAATGGAAAAGGTGGAGGGAGCGGCAGACAACGGGTGAGAGGAGAACAACGTGACTGGCGCCCCGCTGCGGCTAGACGCCGAGCACACTTCTCCCGAGCGAACAAGTGTGTCTCGGGTCCTCACCGCTGCAAAAGCTGTGCGCTGATGTCCAGGAACCCCGAGAAATGGCTCTTTGATGCTCTGTGCTACCAGATTCTTGCGCTCCAAACCTGCGACCGGGCACTCTATGCCTCCGTCATCAAACTGCCAGGCTTTGCGAGTATAAAGGAAGCTATGTTTGAGCGCATACTACCACCTGGAGGAACCACGTCACGGAAAATAACGCCAAGTGACCTGAGGTGGCGTGGTCACGTCAAATGAAAACAATTTGTCAGCTAAATTTTGCGGCGATGCTGGCATGGCGGTCCTTCGCGATGCTCCTTCGTAACGGTTCTCCGTGGCAGTTTTTCCTTTCTCTCTCTCTCAAATTTGACCGACAAGACACATTTTGAGTTCAAAGTATTCCCGTCATAACTTGGTCGCCAACGGTACATCGAAGCGGGCGGATAAGGTCTGAAGCACACGCGTATTCCATGCGCGACCACCCTACTTTGGTCGTCACTGTGAGGCGCCTAGACGCCCGCGTGGCAGGCGGTGGTACACTCGCCTGATGCATGAACGCGGAGCAGCCTCTTGTAGAGGGCCAGGAAGGCGGCTTCGGCGGCGAGACTCCGCTTGCCCAGGCGGTCCACCTCGGCCTGGAAGTGCCTCAGCAGCGGCGACACTCGAGTTCGGACGTCCTGCAAAAACGCGAGTCCACGAGCCACATATCAGCCATTGAATCGATCAAACGCGTTACAAACCCAGGGCACTTGAATTAGAGATAGCAAGGGGGCATTTTCCGGGGGTTTATGAGCATGCGTAGTGGTAGCAGACACATATATTCGCCATTTTTGGTGGCGCTTACGGGACGGCGTCGGCAGTCGAGTAATAACGTGCGGTCAAGGACAGCCTAGCGTTTTAATTGAAACACACGGTGATGGCGCCCCACCCTCCTTTGCAACAACAATACCGACGGAGGCTGCACGCTGGATTCGACTAGTGTAGGTAGTGGTAATCAATTTCCACGGTCTAGAGAGGTGACCGGCAAAAGACTTGACTCTAATTGAATCAAAAATGTGATGTGAAATGAGTGCGGACAATGAGCGTGATGTTTTATATATACACGTTGTATCATCACGCATAGCGTACTCGAGTCAACCTTTTTTTTCTTTTTTTTGTATTCATGTTTTTAGACGTGATCCGTAGATAGTATAAGACTGCCCTTCAACGTGCATGCTGTGAAGGGAAGCAGAAGCTCGGGGATTTTTAAAATGTAACTGAGGGACGTGTGCAAAATCATCGACTGATAGCTCCAAACGGAATGTACCTGAAGAAAAGAGTCACGGAATCCAAAAAAAAGTCCTATGGAAGACTGTAAGTCTCCCATAGGACTTTTTTTCTGCTCAAGTGCTTGAGCAGAGAAATCATGCTTCGCTGTCGTCGATTTATGCGGTCCGTTACGCCACCGTCCTGGGAACGCATGTCTATACGTTAAGCTCTTCGATATTAAGATATCTTTGTGGGACAGTCACTGACTCTGTCATCTGTCTCGCCTTTACTTTGTCCTCATCTTGTCGCGCTATTTTAAGTCAAGACTTCTCCTTTCTTTCTTTTTGTTTTCTCCTGTGTCGACGTGCTTCGCGACACGCATTCCTTTGGCAAAAAAGCAACACAAAAATATTAATTATGTATTTTTATGAAACAGAAAAGAACACTTAATACCATTTTTAAAATACTTTTTTTATATCCGAAGTAGACTTTTACCTACTTTTAGTGTATTTCATATTTTAGTGGTGCGGTCTCCTCGTCGACTAAGTCTGGCAACTGAGGTGAGCAAACTAAAAATATGTACGTTTAGTATGCTACTTGAAAACTAAAGATATACTGTAAGTATACTACTCGAAGTGTTTCATAAAAATAACGAATGAGTATAATTTTAGTGTATTTTTCTTGCCACGAGTAACTCGTGGCAAGCTTGGGAATGTGGTGATGAGGCCAATCTGACAGATCTATGCCATTGGCCATGAGACCGCGTGTGTTACTGCAGCTATTCCAGAGAGAAAAAGGAAAGAAAGAGAGAGAGAGAAAGAGAACACTTGCGAAAGAGGAAATGCTAACGTTTATGCCATAGCCACAGGTCAGACGCTTATCCTTAAGGGGGGGGGGGGGGGGGGGGGGAGAGAAGAGAAGGGGATAACATAGAACACGTTTAGAACCGAATGAACACATACACAGAAAGAACTGCAGATGGCTCAGTCTTTTTTTTTTTTCTTAATTACTCTCGGGAATACGTAAGTGGCGCTAATGTATGGGAGCCTGCATCCATTGCGATGTGCGACATTGCACATCGCTTTAGGCAGGACTGAGCAAACTGAAAGGAAACAAAGTTCCTTCTTGTTCATAAAATGTATGTCCAAGGATGTCCCCACCAAATAAAAACTAGTACTGTGTGCTTGCAAGTCTCCATTCCCTTAATTCGTGGTATCGAAAAGTGAATGGTTTTCCTAAGCTCGCGCCGCTGTAGAAGAAACGTGCACATGCGGTCACCAGTACATTTGCTTCGATGCTCCGGAGGTATGAGGAACTTTATAATTTCATAGTGAGAGACGAGAGGCACGTTGGGGGTTACAGACTGTTGGCACTTCATTTACTCGCACGGGGTAACAAGGGATGCTAAAAGCGCGAGATCAAAGCAATGAAAGGCACTCTAAAGGCCGGTTCACACATACAGCGCAGCGCCGAATCGGCGCCGGCGCTGACGCAGCTCTCACGTGCACGTGACTTATCGCCGATGTGGTTCCATAGTGGTGCACGTGACTTATCACCGATGTTACCGACGTGTTGTTCCATAGTGGTGAGTGCATGGCGGCAAAACAGCGCCGCATCGGCGTGTTTTTTTAGCGCCGATTCGGCGCTGCGCTCTAAATGTGAACAGGTTTTAAAGAGGTAAGGAAACGAAATGACGCGAACGCGAGCCCTCAACCTGTCGCTTCAAAATCGGCCAACGAGAAGCGCAGAGCGTATCGCACTCGTGAGGTTCTGGAGGCGCGCGTGACGTGGCGGCATTCCCACGGTGCATCACGAACCGCCAGCAGGCGCTATCTTGAAATGTGTTCATTTGTTTTAAAATTCGTTTTCTCGACTTTTCTTCCGTCAGCCCAGCAACACCAGTCTAGACTACCTTTTCTGGGCCGCTGACACAAGATAGACCTCATCTGAGAAAATACAAAAGTGCACGATTTTCGCTTCCGCACCCTTTTAGCTTTAACACTAAATCAACGGGGTCACGCTATAAAGCGGAGAACTCGCGCTCGTAGCTTCCGTTCCATCGGAAGGGTTTAAAACAAGGCGGAAGCACGCGGCGCAGTAACTTCGAGCGTTCTCTATCGCGCTCAACGTCCCCAAAATGCCGAGGCACCTCAAACAGAAGCATTCCTTCGCCGCAGCACTCGAATGTATTGCGGAAAAGCCCGCTCCACCGCTGCCGCTTTCCCGTCGCGCCATTCTTCTTGCGCGCGCCGCAGCCACAGCCAAAGGGAGCAACGTCCCCTTTCCCCGATAGCTAGAAAATATTTCACGCGCGCTCCTCGCTCGCTCCTATAGCAGCAGCACGACGCGCGCCGCTCGCGTCCGGGGCCTGAATATAACATAAATCAAAGCGTTATAAATTAAGCGTATTTATCTACGGGACAGGAGGAATACGACGATGCGGCGGTAGACCGCGCGCGACTGTTTTCCTTATTCAGAGGCCCCCGCGCATTGTGACAAAAATAGAGAGCCTCCGGTCCCATTGCGCGCCCATTATCTGGGCAAAGCGATGCTGTTCCGCGGAGCGCCCTTATTTATCTGCGGGATCTCCCACCGAAGCGCCAGCCAATAATTTTCCACCGCCGGTGCACGGGACGGAAGGCAGTTGGAGGGGGGGGCCCTGGGCCTTGCGGGGAGGCATCGGGAAACGGGTGCTGTGAGAGCGGTGCGTAGCACGTGCCGGTGAGCGATCGGGGGGATCGAGGAGCGGTGACGGAGCTCTCCGACGTCCCTGGTCGAAGAAACTCGGGAGAGGGGTGTCTTGTCTTGTGCTCGAGTCTGATGCCCTGCCGCTTCGTGCTGAATATTTATTAAGGATGGTTCATTCACTAGCAACCGCTTACAACCGGCTTAACAACTCACACCAACTAATAAATGACTCGTGCACTGACTGGCAGATGGATCTTCACGACAAAAGAACGGTTTGCACGTCAATATCATGAAGAGAAAAGAAAAGTACTTCTGAATTTACCTACGGTTTTAATGAAGTGACACTTTCACTGGTAGGTCAGTGTAAATGTCTAAATGTAATCATCACCTCCAACCTAAAGTGGGATCATCATGTAAATTATGTAACATTGATAGCTCCGAATAGACTAATGCGCATAAAAAGATCCCTGAAACTAGCCACCACTGCTACGAAGCTCCTAAATTATACAGGCATTTCTAGACGGACACTCCAATATGTCAACATTGTTTGGTTAACTTATACAGACTGACATACCTTTTATATTCAATAATACAGTCATAGGTTCCCTGGCTGAACTTCTCGATAAAGCATCTTTTTTAACCCTAGCTACTAAAGCCAAACGACTAAGACTAAGTTTTTGGATCTAATACTAAATGATTCTCATAAATTGTCAAATCCAAGTATGTTTCATTTTCTGATAATCGGCCGACTAGGCACAAAAACAGCAAAACTTTATTTTAATACTATTTTAAGAACGATTGTTTCTGAAGGTATTTCTTCCATAACGAGTGGAATCAACTTGATTGAACGATTAAAATAGCTCCACCATCACATCATTTCAAACTCAGTTAGATGCTTTTGTGCTTAGATATGTATAACTTAGGCTGACTAAATTATCATGCAAATCATGTGTCTCTTTTTTTAAATAGTGTTTTAATTATATGTTCAATGTACACTATTTGAGCGTGTTGCTGGCTATTTTAAAGCATTGGAAAGAAGACACACATACGGGAGACACACAAAGCAGACACACAGAGGGGACGCGTATACACATTGCCCTGTCTGTGTCGTCCCCTATGTATCTCCTCTTCCTAATCGTTTAAAATTATATAGGCATTTTGTAATCTCATGTGATTATGTATTTATTTATTTTGTATTTCGTATTTTTTAAGTGAGTTGGACTGTCACTTGCATTGTTTCCGTGCATAATTTGATGATCAGACAAGAGTTTTAATGTGTATATTCTGTGCATCATAGATCTATGTGTGTATCGTTTATCTATCTAATGTTATATCGAAGAGGCAAGAATTATGATGTACGTATTTAGCCTTCTTTCCTGTTATAATCCTTCCCTGTGATTGGCACTAGTTTTATATAAATAAATTAATTAAATCCGGATTCAAATCTCTTGTGACTGCTTGCGATCGCCTGTGCTTCTGCGCGGCCGGTGGTGAGCAGTCACAAGAGGCGATTTAAAAACCTATCGTCCCGCTCTCGGTCGCGGTCAAACGGAAGTGCGGAAACCAGGCTTCAGTCTGGTTCAGAGATTTCCGCTTGAGGGTGACCAACGGCGTTACGACTCCTTGCGTTCCTCGACGACACGTCGCGCGTACCTCGGTTAAAACGGCAACCATCTCGTCGTTACCGGTCGCAGTCGGTCGCACTCCAACGAAAATGCCTCAACAGGCGTTTATGGAAGAA